ACTCTGTGGTTCAGACCTAGTGGGGTAGGCAGACTATAAACAAATCAGCAAATAAATAATAAAACAGCAGATTGTGATGGGTAGTTATAAATTAGGATGGTTGATGGAGAGTTAGTTCTGGGATGGGGAGAATAATTTAGCCTGAAATGTTGGGGACAGGTTCACTGAAGAGGTGACTGAAGAAGTGAACCAGCTACTTGAATAACCAAAAAGAGCCAACCAGGTGATGATCTGGGGACTGGATATTCCCAGAGGGAATCGCCAGTGGAGAAGTCCTAAGTTGGAAGAAGCTTAGTGTTTTGTAGCAAACAGCAGAGAGGTACATGTGGCTGGAGCTGAGGCAGCAAAGAGCCCAGTTTATAAGATGAGGGTGGAAAGGTTGTCAGAGGCCAGATCACTTGGGATCTGTGGGCCGGGGACACAGTGAATTCCAAGTGGGCTAAGATGGGATTAGACCCTGGGAGATCATATAATTTGTCCTTCTCACTTCGAACAGGAGCAAAAGTAGAGGTGAATTTTGTCACCTGTGAGTCAGCCAGCCAACTGGATTATTGCTGTGACTGGAGGTAAGATCTTTTGTCATGCATCCCTGCTGGTTTCCACCAAACTCTCCCTGAATGCTAGAAAAGAAAAAGCTGGACTCTTCAATGTCCATAAGCATTTAAATGACTAGTCTTTAGCACATGTCCCATTTATACTGTCTTTTTGACTCACAGTCTTGAACTAGAAAATTATGGAGGCAAAGCCATTCTTGTAAATTTTTATTTTCTATAGAAAAGGATGGTTTGAACATTTGCTTCTGATTAAGAATTAAAGTTCTTTATGGAAAACTTTTTTTTTTTAAAACCAAGACCTTCTATTCAGATACCATACTTGCCATGAAAGCTTTTCATAGAACTACATCTTGGACGTCCTGGGTTTGACCCATACTACTTGACTAGGACTTGAAGAAATAACTGGAGAATATCATCATATGTCTTTCCAGTGTGGGGAGAGCAGCAAAGCCCATGTGGGTAACAGGAAAATATGGGAGAAGACACTTATTAAAGGAATCAGGTAGCATGGCACAGAGGCTGTGCACACAGCTGTGTGAATTGAGACAAATAACCTACTTTTATCCCCAGCTTCTTTGCCTGTGAAATGGCACAGTAATAATATTCCTCATATAGAGAATTAAGATAATATCTGTAAAAGCACTTAGAACAATGCTTGTTTCATAATGAGCGCTATAGAAATGTTTTGAAGATTTGTTTAAAAGGCTTAATAAAGTATAGGATTATGTTTTATTTTTAAGGCTAAGCATCCTTATATACTTAGTTTGACTATTTAAGGCCACAAACCAAATGCATTCTTTTTTTTTTTTTTTTTTTGTACCAGGGATCAAACTCAGGTCCTTGCCCTTGCGGGGCAGGTGGTTAAATCCCCAGACCAAATGCATTCTTTATGTTCTGGGATTTGGTCACATTCCCACCACAGGACATAAGGTGCAGCTTCCATGTCTGGGAAGAGTTAAACATTCCACTACAACCATTCTACACACAAACATTCGGAGTTAGAAAATTGCACTGTATGTTATGTACACACAGGACACATGTGTGTATTTTTTTGAACAGCATTAACATTGCCTAGGGGAGGAATAGCTTTCACATCCTTCTCTGAGTTGAAAAGGAGGACATATGGAAGGAGATTAATTTTAGATTAGCTGAGACCTTTAGTTACAAAAGGATTTGAGGCTGGCTTGATTAAGTGCAAACTGATAGAAAGAGAGTGTTGGTAAATAGAACCTTCTTGTCACTGTTCTGACCATCATTCAAGATTTGTATCCCAAAGAGCTTCCACCAGCCAAATGCAATGGCAAGTTGTGGCCTCATTCTGGCCTATGGCTCATCCAAATTTCATGTCACTGCCTTTAGATCTCATGATTCCTTTCATTAATTGACCAGTGGACTCATAGAAAACTTTCTGTTTTCTTTCTCTTCTATGTTCTCCTCCTTTCTCACTGTGTCTAGAGAAAGATGTAAGAGAGAAAAATCTCACTCCTTCCACTGCAAGATCTCAAAAGGACAGGAAGAGCATTCTTCTGTCTTTGTCTAGGTAGATGAGAGTAGAAATAAGGCAATGGCCTCAATTCAAGGATGGACAGGTCCGCAGAAACACTTCTGTACTGTTCAGTTTTCATGGTGCGTGTAGAAGGAGTTCATGTTTATACAGTGCTTGAAAGGACACCGAGGAGATTTCTTATAGCTGTGGTTCTTACTTTGGACTCTCCAACTCCTTCAGATCCTTCCTGGTCACCCTGAGAGTCAAGAGGACCCAGATTTGACAGAAATTATGGGATCTTTAAATCTAGCCTGATATATCAAGATCCAGCTAAAAATGAGAGAAAGCAAGCATGGCAGATCATCTAGGATGTTCTATAATCCAGGCCCAATTGCAAAGTACTTTCCTTTGGCCCCTATTTCTTGGACCAAAACTTGTTTCCTGAACATATCTGACTATAAGAAAGGCTAAGAGCTTAGTTTAGCTGTGTATCCAGGACATAGATTTAGTGAACAACTAGCCATTCTCTACCCTAGACAGTATATGACCCATGGTGGTCCAGAGATAGTGGCCAACTAAAGCACACTGCCTGGCCCATAGCACAGTTTCCTCCTTACCGAACCACACTCTGCCATGTCTCTCATGTGTGCCCTACCTTTGGAAAACATTAGCCCACAAAAGTTGTCCAAAAGAGAGAACCAAGAAGAAAGTGGCCGATCCATTTTCTAAGAAAGGTTGGCAAGATATGAAAACACTAGTTACATGAAATATAAAATATGCAGAGCAGCATTAGTCACAAAAACTCAAAAGATCCAAAATTGTACCTGAGGGCCACCATGATCCTGTTTCTGAAATGGACTTTGTTGGTTTGCAGAATGATGGCAGAATTAGAAAATGCAACCTAATTATTGAGGATAGTCAGAACAAAAATTGCCTGACCAACTTCCATGGCAGGGGTCTTATGTATTAAAAAATATCCTCCATAGTAAAAAAAATGACAGAGCATGAGGAATGACTGAGGGTTGTTTCATCTGTACTCTGTTGTTTTTATTCGGGAAAAAGCAATAATCACACTTGAATGACTTCTTACACTTAACCCCTGTAGGTCAGTCAAATCTGAAAGAAGATGATAGAAATCAAAATCGTGGCCCAAGGGGAGAAGACAAAGATCTTGAGAGGAGTGGTCAATGAACTGATTGCAGAAAGTATTGGGAAAGCCATGAAGAAGGCTTGCCTATCTAGTTATCCTCTTCAAGGGCTGTTACTTGTAAAAGGAAAAATGCTGAAGAAGCCTGGGCTTGAAGTGAGAGCTCATGGAGCATCACAGCGAAGAGAGTAGTTCTAGAAAAACTACTGAAGGCGAGACAGGTGCTCAAGTGGAATGAGTGCATGATGTAAGCCACTGATCTGAGAATCTAAAATTCAGGTTTTTAATGGTGACAAGTGAAAAGTCTTATTTATGGGGGAAGAAGCTCAGCCTATTAAGTACAATCCTAATGTACCCTAGGTCAGTTCTACTCACAGGAAAGACTTGGGTGTAACATGTAAGAATCCCACAAAGAAGGGTCAGCCTTGCCTCCCAAATGACAGCAATTTCCACTGTGCCATGAACTCTGTAAGAATCCCCAGCCTCACTCTCCCTTCTTTCAGTCCCTTGCCACTTGGTTGCTTCCTGAGGACCAGGGGGGCAAGATGAGGGTATTGCATGGTTCACTGCAAACACCTGTCTCTCAGTGCTACCTCCACATTTGGTTCAGATGTTTGCACTCCCCCCCTTCTTACATTTGGCCCTGTGGTCTGTGTCCCCCTGAGTTAACTTTCATCATTCAACTAGAAACAACACCTTCTTCTTGCTACCATTTCTCTGGGAACTGTAGGGAGTCAACCCCAAGCCTCCTGCACTCCCCACGGGGCCAATAGTGCTTCAAAGGAGTGTGTTGGGGCTGCATCTCACGGCTGGGCTTCCTTTCTGTTTGAACAGCTTCCATTGCTCACTGCTGATCAGTAACTCAATGATTCATTAAACACACAAACAACGAGTGAATCTGTTCCATTAGCGAGGCCACCTGTTCTTCCCAGACATTCTCAGCTGAGCCCAGCAGACGCGAACAAGAGAATGCAGACATCAGTCAGTGCCCCGTCCATATTTGATGGCGTGTTAGAGCAGGAAGAGCAGAGTCCAGGCTTCGCTGACGCTTTTATGCTTTTCCTTTCATCTGGGAGCAGAGCTGCGAGGCTGTAATGTAGAGCACAATCCAGTTCTCTGTAATCAACCGGAAAACTCCAAGTCCTTGGCCATGATTGCCTCCTTAGTCTTACAGAAATGGAGAAAGAGAAGACGGGAATCTCTGCATTCTTTAGCTTGCAGATGCAAGGACAACAGAATTAACCAAGCTCTAAACAAAAGCAAACAACACACAGAAAAAGAAAGAGAGAGAAAAGAAGGAAAGAGAAAGAAAAGGAGACAGAGAGAGAGAGAGAGAGAGAGAGAGAGAGAGAGAGAGAGAGAGAGAGAAAGAGAGAGAAAGAGAAGGAAACAAAAAGAAAAATGTGAGAGAAATGTCATCAGCTGCAATAACATCTTCCCTGCCCTGGCTGCAGCACAATTTTTTTGCTATGCTGCTTCTGGTTCAGCTGCACTGAGGAAGGGGAAGGGGACTGCAATGATCAACATGTGAAATATGTATGTACCGATTCGCCAAGATGAATGTAATTATTATGCATGGCCGACATAAACTAATACTTTTAAAAGAAAATAAATGAAATGTGTTGAGCACTCAAAAAAAGAACTGGTTTACTAGTGTTTATAACCTTTTTATAAATCAAGTCTGCTAACAATCAGATAAAGCTAACTGAGTTAAGCTGATGCTGGTATTACAATCAACAAAAGCTAAAATTTTATTTTGAAAATAGCCTTTTTCTCTTCTCTTCTCTATAACTTCTCTTTCATAAAGGAAAACTTGCATGAAGGGAGCAGTGTTCATTTCGATCCTGAAAGCTGTACCAGACCAGGAATAATGGAACACAGGACCATTTCTCAAGTGAATATTAAATTGCCTCTTGAGGGTGAGTTTAGTGCTTCATACCCGGTCACTAGGATTTGGACTGGGCACTTCATCTTTGTTAGACTTAGATTTCTCTACACTGACATTTGCATTAAAATATTTGATTGCATAGTTTGGTTTTTAAGTCTAGGATGGATTTATGCTAGAATATAAGTAAAAGAAAATTTTTTTGCTCATTGGTTCTTATATAAAATGAAAGATGAAGAGGAAGAAAAAATAATTCTTCAAGGAAAATTACAATTCCTATGGTTTATCTGTAAAATTCATTTAAAAAATGAGTTTTAAATTCCCTGGCAGATTTCAGGTATCACTGTTGCTAGTGGTTAGTTTACTTTCATTTTTGTGGCACTGGAAATGACAAAATGCCAGGTGAGGAATTCAGTTTTTGCCTCCTTCGTAAATATTATTTTGATTTTAGAGGATGTGCTGTGAGCTGCACATATTCAGGATGAGTAAGGTAAACAGAGTGAGGCAGGCAGGCCCTGCTGCTCAGATTTGCTAGGCAGGTGCGAATGTATCTCCCTTACCCAGCACATAAAAGGCCACGTGCATTTTCAAAGGGGTTTCTGCAGTCCTGGTCTTTTGACAACCACTACTACGATTTGCTTGTCAAGTCCAGGTGTTTGTACAGCCGCTGGTTTTGTAATCAAAAGAATCCTCAGATTCTTTTGTATATAAAAAAAGAACGGCACGAGAGAAGTGACTTTTTGAAAAAGACTAAGAGGGAAACAGCCATGTAAGATGAACAATTAGCCAGGAGAATGCCAGCTACCCACTCATGTGACAGACTACCACCATCCCAGAACTTTCTGCACTGATACCAGGATTGTGAACCTGCACTGTTCAGTATAACGGCCGATAGTCACCTGTGGCTACTGGCATTTGCATTGCGGCTGGTGGGCCTGGGAAAATACATTTTAATCTTGGGTAACTGAAATTTAGGCATATGCATTTAGGGGTCTTCATTGCTATACTGCCTAATACCTAGGTTGGTTTCCTAGCTTCATTGTAAGTTCTTCATAAAAGTTTGCCATATGCTTTGAATGAGGACACAGTGAAGCTGGGAGCCAGTGATCTTGTTTTGAGGGTAAATGACCTAGGATGAGCTGCCTGAGAAGGATGAGAAAACAGTTTGTAGTTGAAAGGCCCTGATTCAGGGGGCCTGTGGTGATGCAGTGCATCATGGTGGGAATGATGGCAGAAGAAGCTGTTCATCTCATGGAAACTCGGAGCAAGGAAAGAAAAAGTGGCTCGAGTCCCAGTATCCCCTCCACGTGCAAGCCCACAGGTTCCCAGCTCCCTTCAACTAGAATGTCTGCTGTGATGTGTTAAATACAGCAAGAAATAGCGAGATCCAGTTAAAGAGTCAAACACATCTTCTTGTTTAATTTTTCACCCTTCCTGCCTTCTGGGTAAAAGGCAGAGAAAAAAAAGAAAACTAACTCTCTCATCTATTCTGCATCAAGCAGTATTTATAGCTTCAGACTTTGGTGTGAATTCCAAAATGTTGTTTTGAGCCATAAGGTTTGTTACAATTAGTTTTACATCAGTGGAAAACTAATACAAACAGGTATTTCACCTTAAAAAAAAAAGGAAAAAAAGTTTGCCATATGAAAATTAAAAATATGGTCATGTTCCATCTCCCTTAATACTCCTAGGTGCTTCTCGCCCAAGGGCTCGTACTCTTGGGGGTTCCTGCTTCTATCCTCTGCTCCAGTGGATCCAATTTGTTTCTCCACCCTTGATTGCCCTCGGCCTTCCCAGCTCTGTGATGTCCACGCAGTCTTCTCTGACTGGAACGCTCTTTCTCACTTGTCCACCTCAGCAGACCTCTGTTTATCTTACCCATAGGAAGGACTTTGGAAAGTGTCCCCAACTGCCCCACATAGATGAGAGTTCATGCTCTCTTCTGTTGGTTTCCAGAGTGGTATAGCATAAATGTCAGGTCTCAGGGAGATCCTCAGATCTGTGTGCAAACGTTTACAAGAAAATTCCCAGAAGAATTAATGGGTGGAAGGAAAGTAGTGGGTAGAAGCCAGAGAAGTGCACAGTGGCTGGCAAAGCTTTGCCCAAGTTTGTAGGCAGGCTTATTACCTCTATAAATCAAGCCTCACAACTGTCCTGCCCCGAGACGAAGTGGAGTGTTCATACTCTTACATCCAGTAGGCAGTGGGGAAGAGCCACCCCAGGGGGCTAGCAGGAGGCACTTTGATTTCACTGCTGCTGCTATGGGCAAAGGCTGGTTCTCCAAGAAAGAGTGCGGGCCTGGCTATGGAAGGGAAGCCAAGGGTGTGGGAATGGCCTTAAGGAGGGGGGGCGGGCACAACACAAAAGTAGTGAAGAAGAATCCTGCGGGATCTGGGCAGGACATGAGCACGAGCTATTTGACATTATTCACCCAGGGGAAATGTTAGAATTGGATCGCTGTGGTTTATAAAACCCTTTTCTTGGGAAAGTGACTTAATTGTATTCAGCTTTGGAGTTTCCTCCTCAATGAAATTTAGAAAATAATTGCATTTACTTCTCTGGGTAAAGGTAAAGATTACTGTGTATAAAGTATTTAGCATTGTGTGGGGTACATAATTAAAAAATTTTAATGCAGCTATCATCTTAATATGACATTTTATTGCAATGGCACAGCTGAGTTTTTTGTTGACCTTGAGATTTCCCAGGCCAGTAAACTACTCTTTAAGTCACTGACCCTAAGCCTATTCCTGGCCCAGAACAGAGATCCAATCAGTATTTTTGAGACTTTTAAAGCAGTGTAATTTAATAGAGGGGACAGGGGGAATTGGGTACTATGGGAATCAGAATTTCAAATTGGTCCCTCAAAGATGTTTCACTCTAATCCCAGAAGCTGTGAATATGCTGATATATCACTCCTGTAGTTATGAGATATTATATGGCACAGTTTGTTTTAAGAAAGGATTATCTGGTGGGCCCTTGAAAGCAAGGATTTTTCTGTGACAGAAGGCAGAAAATCAAATCAGAGTCACAGTATTCGAGGGTTTGGCATGAGCGACCTTGAGCTGGCTGGGATGTGAGAAGCTAAGTATCCTGTCTCTGGTTTGTAGGTGAGGGAGGCCACATGTGCAGGAAGGTGGATGGCTTTGGGGAGGTGAGGGGACCCTGCTTGGGAGCCAGCAAAGAAATGGGAGCCTCGGTCCTAACACCAGGAGGAAATGGATTCTACAGACAGCGTGACTGAGTTTAGAAGTAGATCCATTCTGGAGATGGAGCTCACTTTTGTCTGACCCCTTGATTTCAGCCTAGTGAGGCCCTGGCATGAACACAGTTGAGCTCACTCGACCTACAGAAGTGTAAGATAATAAACAAGTAATGTCACTTAAGACAGTATGTTTGTGTTGATTTGCTACACAGAGGTAGAAACAAGTAACAATGCTTACTACATTGTGGAAAAGCCTAGAATCTAGAAAGGAAGGTGAGAAACACCTAGCTTTCAGGTTATACCACAGTGGCTGCCACCTGAGACCAGGAAGATGCAGGAAATGACATTGGCCCAGAGCCCTGCAGATGGTGCCTAGAGGGGAAGTGTGGATACCAGCTAGCTGTGACCCTGGTCACATTGATGGAGGGTCACAGTGACCACCATCATCACCACTATTGACAGAGGAAGAGGTACCTTTTGCTCCCTTGCATATTAAAAATATCCCACAAATGAATCTTATTGTCCAACATAATTTGTATCCAGAAGCTTGCCAAGAAAGCATGTCTGCGATATGTAGTTCCCAGGCTTCCAGTGCCCAAGATAAAAAGGTATGAAGAGAAGGGGCTTGAGATAATGTTGATTGACAAAGAGTTACATCCGGTATGGATGGCTCTTCAGACCTTCAAGATGCCCTTATGACAGCCTGCTCATGGGAGTTATTTTCATTTTACAGATTGGAAAACTGAAATCTGATCTGGTAAGGCATCTTGCTTCAGTTTCATCAGCCTCCTCTCCCAGCCTTCAGATGAGGTGTATCACTGGCTGCCAGGTGAGTCATGGAGACTCAGCTGAAGATGCCATGGAAATTGCAGCAATTTGATTTTTTAAAGGAGTTTTCCTTAGGTTCTGGGTAAAGGGACGGTGTTAGACTCTTGTTGGAGCCCCGTCTGGCTCATCCAAGCCTCCTCCTGGCCCACATTCCCTGACTTTGGCCACAGACCTTGCAATCGTGCGCTCTGATTTCTGGGTTGACTGTGGCGAAGTGCCCTGCCCTCGTTCACTGGGCAGCCCCTGCTGTTCTTTTATCCTGGGAGTGCAGAGGACCTGTCCTCCTCTTCTGTGATCCAGTTGACCCTGCCTCTCCCTGGTGGGAGCTGGTGTGGGGCGGAGGGGAAGCATCAGGAGGAGGGTGCGCTCCGAAAGGGAGTCAGGCAGCATTTCCTGCAGACAGCTCTATCTGCCCCGCATACCAATCCCCTTACACACGGATTGGCCCATAGGCTCAAGCACAAGAACAATTTGGCCTTCTCTCTTCTCTTGCTGACGGTAAGAACGCAATTCTGGGAGGAGATTTTAGCACTCAAGCTCAAGACAGGTGGCATGCTGTTATTCTAACTAAAAGTGCAGGGAAACTTAGAGGAAGAGCTCTGGATAATATTCTATGGGTTCTCTGGGATCTCGCTGTGACTGCGGGTTAAAGGCCTAGAGGCGGATCTTTGTCAGTCTGCTGGAGACTGGGCTCTCTGGGTTCCCCTCTCCTTCCTGGCTGGCTGCCCCTGTTTCCCCTGGACTTGGCCTTAGTGGTGAGGAATTCATTCCTAGGTTTCTGGAGGGGGAGAAAGAAAGAATGTTTCAACTGTCTTTACTATGCCTTAAAAGACATAAATTTTAAGTGAAACATATGCTCATAGTTTGATACAGCTGAATGCTAATAAAACAGCACCTGTGCCTGGGATGAGACATGGACAAACCACCTATATAGAAATCTAGGATCAGCCAGGCTTTCTTCATGTGGGGATGCCATGCGAAAACCATCAGGGACATGTGTGAAAAAATCTGCTTCTTCTGCTCCTTTAAAATTCCACTTAAATGTACTTTAAATTGAAAACCCAACTTAACTAGAAAGAAAAACAGATATACCGTAAGTCTGTACATGTAATTTTTTTTTGGTCAAAAAATCTTAAGCCTGGGTTTTCCTGAAGCCATATTGTTCTGGATTGGTCGTTGACACTGGTTGAGCCAAGGGTAATCTATCAGTGGCCTCTTTTTCCTTTGACTTCTTGAGGGAAAGATCATTTGCCTTTCCCTATCATCACACCAGCCACACTTCCTGTGTGAAGGCCCACAGGAATTGGAACCTGACTTCCTGGAGTGAGGGGCTTGGCTAAGGACACTCCTTCCCCACCCCAGGTCCAGCAGGTAAGACCCTCCTGCACAAAGTAAGCCCCTCCTGGCCCCTGAAGCCCATAGTGGCTCCAAGGGTTATTCTGAAGACCTTACTGAGATGCATAGAGAGACATGAAGGAGTGGATGCACCTAGAGATGAGCAGTCTGATACATAGCAGGGGATACACTGTTGAATGGGGTAGGTGCATTCTCTGCTCCTATGGAGTCAAGAGAACAGAGGGGGAAAGCAGACAGGTCCAGGATGTTACAGGCAGAGAGGGAAGTGTTGGAATGGGCAGAAGGATGTTACAGGTGCACAAAGCAGGGCTATGAAAATGCCTTAGCAGGAAGAGCTCCTAGAAACAACAGTGATCAGGCCTAAGAGTGTTAATGATAATGCTTTGGTCTCTGTGATGAGCTGTCAGAAACTGACTTGAGAGGTAACAGAGGTATTCATCGCTAGGTAAATGTGTCCAGGGAGTATCTCTATTAAGTCCACTTGGATGGTGTGCAGTCGTGTTATTGCCGTACTGATGGATTCTGCAGCTGCACTGTGATGGCCTTTGACTCTCCATCATTTAGTCAGTCAAGGGGCCAGGGCTCCTCCTTCATTATTTCCTGTCTCTCTTCAACAACAGCTGTGTAATTCAGCGTCTCTTGAAGAGAAAATTTTGAACAGTGGATTGGAGTCCCTAGTGGTATGTGTGGTAAGAGAAGTGGGAGATGCTGTTCCCTCTACACAGTTATGGCACCTGCCTCCCATCATCTGAGCTTGCAGCCCTCAGATTGTGATGAAAAAGAAGACACCAGGGTCTTCCTGTCAAACTGTCAAATTTGAGGCTGAATGAAATATCCACCGGGGATCTCCAAGCAGCCAGACAAACTCATCTTTACTTTCAACTAGGGAGAATTTGAACCGATGTCTCCAGCTTTGAACGTCCAGGATATTAATTCATTCTGACATCTGTTCTTTCTCTTTGATATTTTAAAAACAGTCTAGAAACAGAATTGTAAATCCATGCTCCAAAAGAGCTACTTCGGATTCTGGGAAAGAGTGCAGTTCTGAGTTTATCTTGTTTATCCGAGTAGTCTCTGGTCATTTTGTAACATGATATTTTATCCACTGGACGCTCCATACCAATGTCTAGCACCAGATTTTGATTTTGGTTTAATCATCCATCACAGAAAAAACTGTGGTAATATCTGTCTTGCCATCTTCAAGAACTGTGGTGATACTGGTAGCTGGCTGCTGGCTTCCAGTCTTTGTTGTAGCCATCGGGGAATGTGGCTCTCAAAATCCCAGAATTTTGGAGCCAGAAAGAAAATTTAGGGGTCTCTATCAAGAACCATAACAATGCTCATAATTTTTGTCCCGATGAATCCCCTCCCAAGAATGTCAGAGTAATGTCACTCAAACATACATCGTTGAAGGTGTTCCCTCTAGTATTCTTTCTTGTAAAGGTGTAAAAACACAACTCAACAAAATATCTAACATTATGGACCTTATTTTAAAAATTGGACACATTGCCTTACGAGAATATTATGCAGTTCTAAAATAATTATGAACTATGTACATGTAAAGTGTGCAAATAGATAAATGTTTATTGAATTATTTTCAGGTGCCAATGATCTAGTATAATAAAGGAATATGTAGATTGCATAACTATGCACTTTGTGATATTAGGTATGTAAAACACACATGCTTATTGAAGAAAATTTGCAGAAACATTAATTGACAGGATTATGATAGTTCTATTTCATTTAAAATGTTGTTACATCATCCTAAGTGTGAATGTATGTAAAAATTATTATAAGTGTATGGAAGAAATATTTGAGAAATATTTCTAAGAGTTTTTAAGTGTAAGAGTGACCACTTGTTCATTCTTGGTTCATGTTACTTATAGAGTAATTGCTACATTCGGCAAAACACAACAGTGGTTAAGACAAAAATGTAATGCTTTAAATTTTTAGTCAGATCTGTTTTATTTGATAAATGTTTGAATTAAAACAGTCGCCTTTATAATAATCTCTGCTAATCTCCCTCTTTCCAATCTCCTTTTTCTTATCCTTCCTCCACAAACATTATAAAAGTGGAATTTAAATCACGTAGAGAGTACCTTGCCTGAGGATAGACCACTTACTTGCAGCAAACTTGATACTAGAATCTGAGCTTTAATTTTTCTCCTACCCTATGGAACTTCTCCCCAATAACCCCCACATCTCTTTTAAATATAAATTGTTGGAACAATAATGGAGGATAAGATAAGTTTTATGTAGAGCCATGATGAATAATACAGGACAGGAGAAGAGAATTATCCACATGAATATTTCTGAAGCTATTCGCACACAAGAACCACACAAAGATCTTGTCCAGATGCAGATTTTGATCTGCTGTGTAGAATGGGACTTGTGATTCTGCTTTTCTCATGAATTCCCTTTACTTGAGTTGCAAGAATCTAAAGGTTAGAAGCTGTCTGAATACAGAAGATATAAGAATTTAAGTTTTTAGTTTTGTCACTGGGGAATAACAATGTCAATATTTGATAAAGTGTAAACTTTCTTCATTCAGTGATCATGCATTTTCTCTTCCCTTCCCAGCACTTACTGCAGATCCAGGTCTTCCGCTAGTTGTGGCCATGAATGACAAGAGAATGTTCTAGAGCACACCACCCAGAGAGAAGAGGCCCAGGTGTGCACCAGACTCCCAGGCTCTTGCTTTGTCCCAATGTGATGTGTGGTCTTCACCCGGCACCCTGTCACCAAGTGGTCCCAGACAGGATACTTGGAGTCGAGATCAAACCTGAGCTGGAAGCCTAACTAGGCCCTGTAGACTAGAGGCAAGTTTGTTCGAGTTTTCATTTCTTTGTCTATAGAGTTGAATAATTATAGCATTGAACTCATTGGATAGTTGCATAGATTAAATGAGGTGTACATAAATCATTTAGCTCAGTGTCCAGAATGGAGTAAAAGTTCAATAAATAAATATATGTGATTATTATATCTAGCTGAACCTGAATCTTCTAAATTCTTGACCTAGAAGACTTCATGGTCCAGTAACTTAAGTTGACAAGAAATTAAATATTTATATTTATTTTACATTTAACTAAATATACTCTAG